AACCAGATGCTCATGTTTTGAGTGAACCCTTCTGGCTGCTTCATGTAAATCTGCTCCTCCAAATCACCATGCAAGAAAGCAGTTTAAACATTCATCTTCTCCAAATGCAAATCCCAAATAGCTACTAATGCAAGCACTGCCCTGATTGAAGTATGTCTGACCACATGAGAAAAGATTTCATCATAATCTATCCCCTTCTGCTGTGAAAATCACTTTGCTACTAGTCGTGCCTTGAACTTTTCCTCTTCTTTTTCTGATACTATTGGTTTCCTTTTGTAGACCCACTTGTAACCAATATCCTTCTTTTCCTCAGGAAGCTGAACTAGCTCCAATGCGTGATTTTTCTGCAAAGACTCCATCTCCTCAACCATTGCACCCATCCATATCTCTTTCTCCTGGCTGGTGATAGCTCCTTGAAAAGTGGCTGGATCATCGCTACTGATGAGAAGTGCACATGAGACCATGTCTTCATAACCCAATCTGTTAGGAGGCCTTACATTGATGAGTCTTTGTCTATCTCTGGCTAGATTATAATTCTATAGATCATCTAGAATAGAATCACCAGGTGTTGGATTTGAACTTTCATTTCTCTCAGAAGCTACTGGTTGTTATTCTAAATCAATCTGCACTGCATCTGAACTGTAACTCTTCTCTGGCACCTTGTCTTGATTCTGCTGTAACATAAATTGCTCATCAAAAATTGCATCTCTAAAAATTGCATCTCTGCTGATTGCTGATTACCATCTTCTTTGCAATCGAATCCCAAAACTTGTATCCTTTCAAACCTTTCTTGTAGTCCAGAAAGATGCACTTCTTGGATTTTGCATAAAGTTTTAATCTTTCAACTCCACGTGCATGCACATAAGCAAGACAACTAAGCAAGACAACCAAAAATCCATAAGCAAGACAACCAAAAATCCATAAATGATCGAATTTAACTGGATTACCTGTCCATACCTCTTCTCTGACCTTGCCACCCAATGATCCTCGAGGTGATCTATTGATGAGACAGAATGCTATATTCACAGCCTCTGCCCAGAAACTCTTAGGAAGCCCTGCATTCAGTCTCAAGCACCTTGCCCTTTTAGTTAAGGACCTATTCATCCTTTCTGCCACACCATTCTACTGTGGTGTCTTGCATACTGAAAAATTCCTCTGAATCCCATGCTACTTACAGAACTTTTGAAACTGCAAATTTATGTACTCTGTGCCATTATCTGATCTCAAATACTTGATCTTTCTGCCAGTTTGGTTCTCCACCTCAGCTTTCTACAGCTTGAATTTCAGCTTTCTACAGCTTGTTTCTACAGCTTGAATTTAGAGAAGACTTCATATTTCTGCTTCAAGAAATACACCCAAACTTTCATGGATAAATCATCAATAAAGGTAATGAAATACTGAGATCCTCCCAATGACAACTCCTTAGTAGGACCCCATACATCAGAATGCTCATAATCAAGAATCCCTTCAATTTTGTGCTTTCCAGTCATAAAACTGACTTTAGTCTACTTTCCAAGAATACAGAACTTATAAAGATCGAGCTTGTAGCCTTTAACACCATGCAACAGGTTACTTCTATGCAATTCTGCCATCCCACGTTCACTGAGATGACCCAAACGCGTATGCCATAGCTTTGTACTGTTATCATTTGACTCCACAGAATGAACTTCACCTACAATTATATTCCCCAACAGTTTGTAGATATTTCTTGTAGTTAGCTTTCCTTTCATCACCATCAACGCACCCTTAACAATTCTGATGGTTTCCCTATCCTCATATGCCTTAGGAATAAAACCATTTCTATGTAGAGTTCCCAAGGAAATCAAGTTCTTCTTAAGATCTGAAATATGTCTGACATTACATAACGTTCTAACTGTGCCATCATACATTTAAATTTTGACTTCACCAATGTCAGCAATATTGCAACATCTATCATCACCCAAATAGACTTAGCCAGAATTAGTTAACCTGTATGAAGTAAACCACGCCCTGTTAGGTGTTATATGATAAGAACACCCTAAATTAAGAATCCATGCATCTGTGAACTGATTTGATAAAACTGAAAGCATATCACCATCACTGCAATCTGAACTGTCATTCTGTGCCACATTTACATATTTCAATGACGTATCACCTTTCTTCCTAGTTTGCTTCTTGAGCTTTGGACAATCTCTCTTGATATGACCTGGCTCCTTGCACTTGTAGCAATTAATTTCCCTCTTGCCTTTGGACTTTGATCTAGAATTTTGCCTTCCAGAACCCTCTTTTTCTTTTTTCCTTCCATGATCCTGCTTACCCTTAATATATAAACTATCGCCGTGAGAGCTTTCCCTTGCATTCTGCTTCCGCTGATTGTGAGCCAACAATGCTGCAGTAATCTCATCAACTTTGATAGCTTCTTTACCATATGTACGAGTAGTCACCAGGTTTTCAAAGGAAGAAGGCAATGAATACAATAAAATCATCGCTCGATCTTCATCCTCAATACTCACATCAAGCCATGATAAATCAGTGATTATTTGATTAAAGCCATTCACGTGCTGCGCCAGATCAGAACCTTCTTGCACCTTCAACCCATACAACTTTTGCTTCAGATACAACTTATTCGTCAGAGATTTATCCATAAATTGAGTTTCCAATTTCTTCCAAACTTCTCTTGGAGATTTCAGATTCATCACGTGATACATAACTTCATCTGTCAGACATAGGCGTATAGTTGCTGCCGCTCGCTGTTGTAATTCTTCACAATCTTCATGCTCTATGACATATGGTTTTGTTGCCCGCAAAGCTTTCAAGATTCCCTATTGCTCCAACAGATCTTTCACTCTTGTTTGCCACAATCCGAAGTTACCAGTTCCATCGAACTTCACCACCTTGAATTTTGCACCAGAAAAAGCCATTTAAAAATAACACCTGCAACAAATTATTTTGCAAAAATTTCTCTGCAAATCCTTGCTCAGAAGATTTTCGAAAAGAAAAAGAAGGATTGAAAAAAGCCTCTTAATTAAGCTTCCTTAATTAAGTTTTTCAAAAAAGTAAAAAAGTTTTTTTTTTTGAAAAGAAAAAATTGAAATATGCTCTTAATTAAGCTTCCTTAATCAAGACCCCCTTAATTAAAATATTTACTTTAATTAACGAATTTTAAAAAAACTTTCCTTCTTCCCGCAAAGGAATAAATCCTTCTCCGCAGCCTCGAGCAAAGAAAATTTTAATTAAGTTTCCTTAATTAAATATTTTCTTTAAATCAACTTAATTAAAAATAAATTTTTGTTTAATTAAGTTGAATTCAAAAACTTTCCTTCTCTGTTCGAGCAAATATATCCCGCACTGTGTTTGATGGAATTTTTGGAAAGAATGATTTCCTTCCTTCCCAAATCCTCTCCGCAAGCAGCGCCGAGACCTCCACAGTCAGAAATTCTTTTAGAAACCTTCTATCCTGCTCTCTGTAACAACAGAAAAGGCAATTTTGTAATTCAAGCAAAATTTGTGATGGAATATTCCTCTCTGGTTTCCTCTCCGCTTTGTTTTGGAGTCGCGCTGGTGACGAAGCCACGCGGCCCTTGCCAGACTCCTTCCACGCCTCGCAAAATCCTACTCAAAGCCCTTCCGACTAAAAGCCGCAAACTCTTCCTCGACCGAATTCGAAACCTGCAAACTCCAGTCGCAGCCGTGCACGAGCGAAGAACAACTACGATTGAACAAAGAATTGCTGCCACGATCACAAAAATTCCTCCTACCGAATAGCCAAACTTCATTTCTCGAGCCAAGCAATCCATCGAATTTGTCTTCTTTCTCTGTCGCAGCCCTGGCAGCAGCTTTGCCAAAGTCTTCTAGTTTCCTGCGTCGAGATTTTTTCTTCTTTTCCCTCGAACTTGGCTCTGATATCACTTATCACTTGTTGAGTGTTGAGAAATTAGGGTGAAGAAAAACAGTAATCGACACAAATCCAGAAGAACACAAAGATTTAACGAGGTTCGACAAAGATGCCTCGGGAGCAGAGTAGCGAGTTCTTTCACTAATTCATAAAAGAGAATATAGAAATCAGGGATACCTCCTGGGGTTACTAACAGACCTATTTATAGCCTGAGTAATCTCTAAGTACAATACATAATTACAACATTTCCCCTGTACCGTACCGTGGGACTTTCCCTCGCACCCCCAACCCACGTAACTTCCCGATTTGGACAAATTCTTCCTCCTCGCTCCACTCCGCTTCGATCCAGTGTTTGTCCCTATATGTTATATGAGCTCCACTCCGCTTCGATCCAGTGTCTGTCCCTATATGTTATATGAGTCATAACATAACAAATACCATAAAAAAACTACATTTTTTGCATCATTCAGATCTCTGTATTCAACAACTGTTGTCTTCAACACCGTCAATAAAACCATTGGTTTAGCCCTGTAGTGTCGAACAACTTTTCGGAAAATTCATTAATACCATGCCCCTTCCGATCCAATGTAGTTGAGTTTCCTATCTAATCCTACCTCAACCTCCCACAACTTCTTATAAGATGAGGAATTTGATGGAGCTCCTCATTAAAATCCGCCCACTACATATTTCCATCCTCTCCTCATGCTTAGGCTTAGTCATTCTTTTGTCATCTAAGTTCGGGACATCCTTCATTGATGAGAAGCTCCTTCTTCATTGATCATGACTGCCGACTAGAACTTAAGCAAGAGGAGTTGAAAATTAAGGAGAACCATTTACATTTGTTCCTTCTCCACTAACACTTCACGAAAGATGAATTCTTTCATGATTTTTTCTATAGAACTGTTCTTTTCTTTTGGGTAAAGATTCAATTTTCCTAATTATTAGTTTGTAAGTTGTTCAACGTTGAAGCTTATGGGCTAGTCACAAAACACTGATGAAGTGTGCAACATTAAAGGTAGAAATGATCACATTACTTAACAACATGATTTTTTTCCTTCACCTAACTTTATGTAATCATCGTTTATTTCATTATCTTTTATGGCTATGTTTACTATACAAAATTTCTCCATTATTAACAACTATTTAGCTGTAAATGTCATGCTTTATATTAGTAGAGTGACAATGAATGAAGATGCATTACATTATCATAGCGATGATAATGAGAAGAAATTTGTACAATTTAATGAGCTAGTGGGGTTCACTCAAATTGATGACACAATGATTGCATCAAAATATTTAATTAATGATTACTTTGTATTGAGCATTATTAAGAGGTCATAGATGAAATCAAGTTATATTAGAGATGAATGTACGAGTTTTTATATATGACCATCAATTGAGATTTAATTTTCAAAATGTCACAAAAAGTTTGTAATGTTTTTGTTTGCTTGAAGTGATACGTACTATTGTGTAAGGCCCAAGAATATAAGTGCACCTAGACTTAAGTTAAGGCCACATCAAGCTTTTTTGAGTCGTTGTTAGGGAGCGATGGTGTAGTTAACTTTGTAAATATTAGTTGAACCATTTAGAATTGACTTAGAAATCTGTATTATTAGTTTTTGTGTGTAATTATTTATTTGTTGAAAAAGAAAAAAAAATCTTAAAATATATTTTGTGTGTTTGTTAATGTGTTTGCATGAAACCTACTAGTTGAAACTTTAGTTAGTGAATGTGTAGCACAACATCTAAAGGATTTGAACCCTATGATTCAAAGCTAGAGAAAGCCATTAGCAAGATTAGAAAACAAAATAGTCTTCATGAACTTATAGAAAAAATGGTGAACAATCAACAAATCAACTTAAATGCCCAGGAATTGATTAATGAACATCATAACACCTATAGACCAATAAAGGATTAAGCCAATCCTACGACGAATAAAATTCACTTAAATCTGCCATAGAAGCAAACACGTTTGAATATAAGCCCTTTATCATCTAAATGGTGCAAAACAATTAATTTTGGGAAACCCACACTATGGATCCAAATTTACACTTAACAAGTTTCTTAGAACTTAACGTTACATTTTACTATAATTGCATGTCAAACGATGTTGTCAGGCTTAGGATTTTACCCTTTTGTTTGAGGGATAAAGCCAAAATGTGGCTAAACTCATTAGCACCTAGATCAATTAGGACATGAGGTGAATTAGCCCAAAAATTTCTAACAAAGTATTTACCACCTTTAAAATTATCTAAACTGTGGAATGATATTATTTCATTTTTCCAAAATGAAGGTGAGTCAGTATACGAGGCCTGAGAATGATTTAAGGAGCTTCTTAGGATTTTCCTACAACATGCATTGCCCAATTGGCTAATTATTCAAACTTCTTATAGTTGTTTAGTAGGATCCCTTAGATCAATTATTGATGCCGCTGGTGGATAGCTCATATTAAAGACATTTGATGAGGCTTATTCTTGGACTAAGGAGGTGGCCACCAACGACTTCCAATGGTTTTCTAAGAGAGTAAACCTCAGGAAGGTAGCTAGTGTACATGACAAAGATGTGCTTCGATTTAACTTCTCGGCTAGCTGCTATATCTTGGAAGCTATGTTAATTTGGAATGAACCAACCTCAAGTACCTCCAGTAATTTTGAAAATTTCATTTGAACAATTGGTTGATCCTATTACTTCATCATTTGAGACCCTAATTGCAATTAACAATAGTCCAATTTCAATAATCCATGTTGGAAGAACCATCCCAACTTTAACTAGAGCAACAACTCTAGTGGAGGAAACTAATAATGGTGCAACAACCAATCAAATCTTGCAGGAAATTAGAATAACCTCATTAGTACCAACTATATACCTTCTTATACTTTAAGATTTAACTCTAACCCATAATTCAAGGAAAAGAAGATGTCTTGGGAGGAGTTTGTATTATAGATGGGGAGTCAACTGCAAAGTCAATGTGGAGCAATTAGGAACATAGAAAACCAATTGGGAGAAGTTTCTAACTTACTTAGTAATAGATCACAAGGAACTCTTTCTAGCAACACTAAGATTAATCCTAATGAGAGGAATGGTCAGTATGTTAAAGTTGTTAAGGAGTGGAAGAGAATTACAGGATATTGTTTGGAAAGATGTTGAATTTGAAAAGGAGAGTATAGAATCTAAAATACCTTTGGATGACATTTCTAAAGATTTAAGAAAATAAGTCCCACCAACTAAGAGTAACCACCTCAAATTTCCTTAAAGTCTCTAGAAACAAAAATTAGATAAACAGTTTTTGAGATTTTTTGAAGTATTTAAGAAGCTGAAAATTGATATTCCTTTTGCAGAGGCTCTGGAGCAATTACCTAGTTATGTATAGTTCATGAATGACATTCTTAATAAGAAGAGGAAGTTTAGAGATTATGAGATGGTTGACCTTTTGTTAGGAGTGCATTAACATCATTTAAAAGAAGCTTCTTTGAAAGCTTTTGGATATTGGGAGCTTTACTATCCTACATGCACTTAGTGAGAAATTTTATGGCAAAGTATTATGTGACCTTGAAGCTAGTATAAACCATATACCACTATCTATTTTCAAAAGGTTAGGATTAGGAGAGGTGTCTCTTATGATAGTGACCCTTCAATTAGCTAATCAATTGATCCCTTATCCAAGGGGGGTGATAGAAGATGTTCTTATAAAGGTGGAAAGTTTATCTTTCCTGT